GATTCCTATAGGATTCCTAAAGGATATCTATTGAAATAATCCTATAGGATCCTATAGATGTGACGAAAAATCTATAAGATTCCTATAAGATTTTCTCTTATAGGATCCTATAGGACATTTTTGTAAGGGCTCAACCAAACTTGCGAAACAGGCTGGTGATATAGCCCTGGTTGGTATGATACATCCTAATGCCAGTAAATGGGTGCGTAACTTTGGTCCGAAAGGTCTTTGCTCCGAAGGTCCATTGGTCCGAAGGCTTGGTCCGAGTGACCTTTTTTTCCAGGAATGCAGGTTATACGACAGTATAACAATTCCTTACAACGTATGAAGTAAATTAAGAAAATCACTAATAATAATTGTATATTGTTAGCCATGGTGACACTCAGACCATTTTTTGTAGATATGTTGAGATTTTGAAGGCAATATTAAAATAGTATTAAAATGGATATGAAACGGTTTCTAGAAATCCAAAATCTTGTCATCATTGTTTAGAAAGTCATTGGAAAGCCTCGGACACCCAATATTAAATGTATTGGACAATGCCTTACCCCAAAAATTCCCCCCGAAAGTCACTGAAAATCTTTTTGTGACGTCACAAAAAGATAAATTTGTACTGGGAGGTAAGGGAATGTGGAGGTTATTTGCCAATTTACACATTACAGTGATGGTAATAGCTAATCCGCTTTACATTTTTGTTCCCGGATATGTATTTCATCGTAAATGATTAAAATTTGGCTATATATTTCTCAAATTATTTTTTAAAGTCCATTTTTAAAAGGCTATTTAAGGCTACTAAGTTAATGATTTATGATTATGGCACTTCTAAATGGCTGGAAATGGCACTCCCAGACTTAAATTTGGTTATAAATGTTTTTTTTTTTCTCCATTTTCTTTATAACTTTCAAAAATTTAGGGGGGGGGGGCGAGGCGAGGCTGGCTCAGCCCAGCCGCCCTTGAATCTGCCACTGGGGTCTATAACATCTGAGCCCCACCATAATTGGGTGGAGGTAAGAAAAAGTTATGATTGTATGTCACCTCTAGTGGGCCGGAAATGGCACTCGCAGACTTAAACGAGAATATAAAGATAATTTTAGTGAAACCTATAAAAAGAAGATGATTTTGTACACAGCGAGTCATTGACACACAAGCGGCAGGGAAAAATACTGAAATTCCTCAAATAGCTTATAAATACAGTAAAGGGTCCTTGCTTGTACGACAAATTAGAGGCAGTCTTAGTTGGTCTGCTCTGATTGGTCAACGAGTTTTGGTGGATAGATTTCTGAGACGTGTGAGAGTGCTTTGGCAATGGGGGGGGGGGGTGTACCCGTCGCACAACCTGCATATGGGCCTGCGATAAAACAAGTCATTACAAAAAAAATATTTAATATTATTTTTAATAATGTTAATGTGTTTTCCTTTAGTAATACTGTATGATTCAATTCTTAATGTAAATATTTCATTAATTAATTAAATTAAATTGTACAGTATTTTTTAAGTCAATCAACGAATTTTCTCTCAATTCAGCTTTTGCTGCAAATGAGTTATATATTTCCTTTCTTTTATTCAGGAAGCACAGCAGCATGGTAAAACACATGGTGTAAAATATGATGCAACTCAACACAGTGCAACTCGTCCTGCAGCTCAGGAAGTTTCACACAAACATTTTTTCTCTGTAAGAATGGCTATTAATTACAACCAATTTCATATATTGTCTAAAATGAAAAAAAAAATTGTTGCCAATTTATATATCAGGATAAATGTGAATGTAATGTAATGTTTTATAGGCTTATGCTACGTCAACACTATCATATTTTATGTGACAAATATTGGTGTATCACATTTATTTGTCACTATTTGATAATGTGCACAGAGCATAAAGGAGTGGATATGTTTTTTAATAGTGAAAAAAAAATAATATTTACAATTTTAGCTTCCTGAATTATTTAACTCATTTTACACTTCAGTTTAGGTAGTGTTGAATCAAATGCAAGCCATGCCACTCACATATGCTATAGTGACTTGAAATTAAACTGTCTGCATTTTTAAAATGTGAATTAAAAGATAAAACTGCAAAATGCTGATTTGCCATGAAAAAATGCTGTGGTAATGTATTGTCAAATTAAATATAAAAAGGCAAATGTGTAAAATACCAGATTTTGTAAAATATATTGCTGGTTATTGTTTTGAATATTTATATGTATTTTACTATATATTTAACAATATATTAAATTTATCAGTATTTTACAATAATTTTATTATTAAAATTATATATAACATTTTTTTAAATTCTAATAATGTGCATTGAGTTTTCATATTCAAGGAATCATTTTTTAAAAATTAAATTACAATTTTGCAGCAAATGATTGTTCCTTTTTTTTTGGTTTTTTTAAATAAAATGTCGAGTATCTTGATGAATATAGAGGCATGACAATGTGCCTTTTTTATTTCGATTGTTACTATTATTATTGTAAAATTTTTGTAGCAACAAAAATATCAAATTGAAAGTAAGGAGTACAGTTAAAAAAAGCGCATAATTTTATTGTGTATAAGTCATAAAAAAAATAGTTTTGCTAGTTTCTTTTTTTTTTTTATTCAGGAAGCACAACAGCATGGTAAAACACATGGTGTAAAACATGACAAAACTCAACACAGTGCAACTCGTCCAGTAACGCATTGTGTACCTCACGAAGTTTCACACAGAACTTCCTACTCGCCTTATTCTGTAAGAATGACTATCAATATAGCTATGCTTTCTCAATTTTTATTATTTCTGTACACTTTGTTGAGCTAAAAAAACATAAAACTCAATATTTGTACTGTACAAAGCTCCATTCCCGGCAAAATTTCACTAAAAACTGACTTTTTTTAGAAAATATGCATTTGCATTACTCTAATTATTATAAATCATGGAAAAATATTGGCATGAATTTTAGTTTTACGCAAAAGAATAAAAAAATGAGAAATACAGACTATTTCTCATAAAATATTACCATTTTCTCGACGAATTCATCGTTACTAGGCAAATTCAGAGGTTGTAGATCGCATCCACTGGAATACTCTGGCTTTTATGTATACTTTATACAGTCAATAAAGTGCGCCCTCTCTAATGAGATTAGTTTTTGTACTTCGCATCTCGCACAATGCGGTCGTTTGGTTAGACTGAGATATGTTTGTTTAAGTGTCAAAATCTCAGTCAGAATCAGTTTTTTAACAAATTTGAAATAACTCCTGTGAAATATTATATTCACAAGTGTCAATACTAGTAACGGAAAATATCATGTCGGCCGTTTTTATGTGTGATAACAGAACCTAAATCGAGGTAAGGGCTAGGCCTAGACTAGCAGCGTTGAATAGGCTAATGTTTTCGGCGCCTACGATATTTCTTCTCACGACCTATCGCAAAATCAACATGAAAAATTCATCCGCATTTATTTTTTGTGTGGAACACAAAAAATCAAATTTCAGTCTTATTTTACATTTTTTTCATTCTTAGGAAAGTCTAAATTCAGTTAAACTAGCAATTCCGTATTATATTTATAAATCTTTATAACATTATACAAAAATTAGATTTTTCTTAAAAACTGAAATTTTATTTGACAAAAACATGTGACATGCCTAAATGTGGTCATGATGACATCACATCATGACAGTTATGTTGACTTGACAGTTTCTTGTCAAGTAAAATTTGATAGTTTGGACAGGGCTTTCAATGAAAAAAATAAAAAAATAAAAAAAATATTAGGAGTCTGGCTTCTGAAATAACATTTAAACTCATTTCACACTTAAATGTTGATTCAAATACAAGCAATGCAACTACATTTACACCAGGCCCTTGAAGTTGAATGTGTACACAGATTGTGGCATACCTATAGGAGGGTGTAGTGGAGCACCCAAAAACAGCTCCCACGTCCACCCGAGGCCAAGGACTTTTATAAAGTCCTTACTCAGGTGCCCCTTTAATGGTAATTTGCTGTGCAAAATGTAATGCCCATCACCTCATTTGACCAGCTAGTGCCCTCTTCATTTAACCATTGAGCTCCTCCACTTTTAAAAGTTAAAGTTCAAAATTTATTGTCATAAACAAAGTAAATGAGATTTGTATTCCAAGGTTTACAATAAAAATAGTGACATACTAAAAAACCCCTCCCCATTTCCCCATGTCATTTTTTTAGATATGCCATTGTGTACAGCAAATAACATAATATATAAACATATGCAGTAGTGTTAAACCTATGAGTTCTTGGAGGGGGAAGGGGTGCCAAAGGGCGAAGCCCCTGGCCTCAGGTCCGAACGGCTCCAGAGGGTCCTCCTACAAATAAACAGTGCTCACTCTACTAACAAAGCCTTGACATTATAGTCCACAATTCAGCTCCGGCCATTAGAAACATTTAAATACTCCACAATAATAAAGTAAAGTGATACCTAGAGACACAGAGAATTCAAGTTAAATTACAGTAATATAACACGCTATGGTATTGTTTGATATTCCACTTTGAAGGAGCCCCCTTGTAATTGACTACTAAAAATTAAATGCATGGGATCCCAAACACTTTCTTTCCCTCAGGCCTTGTGACTCATCATTCTGCAACTGTACATGTGATATCACAGCCTCAAATAACTAAAAGAAACAATAATTCAGCTCACATTGGCATGTATAGCCTCTTTGGTTTGTGTTTGAAACATAGTAGTGTGAACCAGGTAATGTCTGTTGTAATCACATCAGTTAATTTCTTACCACATAAATTATTCAATATTAATTATATTATTGTTACAGAGAATGTTAGAGGACACAGATATATACCGGAAAGGATATCCGGTAAGTACAACAACTTCCCTATACAGTACTTTAGTGATCTTTATGTTTTAATCCTATCAGGTAAATTTAATGTCAACTGTCCAACTCAGTTTGGTTTTTCTGCCTAGCTTGATGAATGCAAACCAATGATGCTGAAGATAAGTATCTTTATGTGCATAATGATATCAGATGTTCTTTATTTAGTTCTAAATCATGATTCATTTATTAGCAAGTATCTAAATTTATGCAAAATAGAAACCTTTTGTTTATTTCAAGGGTAAACGTGATGATTTATCTAAAGAAAAAAATTGGCTCTTTTATTCGAACAGCATACCATATGAACCGAATGGTAAGCAAAACTTGCTCATTATTACACCCTCAGTGGTGGATCAGGAATTTTTTTTCAGGTGGCAATAATAAGAACCTATGGTCCCAAATTAGGGCTAGTGGTGGTAGGCCTACCCTTTTTCGTCGCCCAATTGACCATCTCATCTCTCTTGAAATCCCAGTCGTCGTCATTGTATTGATCTGGAGTGAACCTCGCCTCACCTAGATGATATTTTGGCTGCACTGTTAAGTGTTGGTGCAACGCTTTCCCCACCGCCACTGACCCTCAAATACGCTTTAGTTGATAATAAAATCATTTCTTTACTGTTTTTTGGTTTGTACAGTTTAGTTGTTTTTAGTTTACATTTCCTTTTTGTGTAATAGAATTGAGCGTCCAGTTAGCAAACTTTAGGAGTTTTATAACCTTACAATGCTACGAATTAATAGTTATCACTACAGTATTTGTTTGTTGGTAGTTAAAGTGTTTTAACTGGCAAAATTGATAAAATTAAATTTTCTTGTATTTTATGATTTTATTGACAGTTTGATGTTCCATTTTTTACGTTGTGGTTGGAATGAGAAAGTTATTAAATATCTAAATTCACAAGCGAGTAGACACTGATATAGCTTCATTATTGAAATTGAACTGTTTTTTTTTTTTTTTGTTTTTTTTCTCGTTTTACTATATTACATAGTATCTCATGTAAACTGATAGCATTTGTTGGCATTGACATTCTAGGAATACTCATAGATGAATTGCATCGTGATTGGGCTGTTGACTATGATACCTTAGAAAGAAGGCATGATTACATCCAATGGTAAGTCTCTTCCTACACATTCTAACATAGCACCTCATATTTATACATGCCTGCAGCGTGTGACAATGAAGGCTCTAGATATTATATAGGGCCTATATGCTTCAGCCTACTGCCGAGGCCCAGGTTGGGCCGGCTGAGGTTGTTTAGAAATCTTTGTGGCTATGAGTGTTGTGGCCAGCCAACACTCATGCTTATAGATAATTACAAATCACACTTTTTTGTAAGTTAACAATATGTATTGTATTTCATATCCCTTCGTGTGTACGTGTGTAAATCATGAATGGAATCCTCCTACAAACAGTGGAGCATAACAAAATCAAAACAAATGATAACCATTGAAACAACTTGTTTTTAAAGTTCATTCATATTTTTTTTTTTTCATTTTGGATAAAAAGTCACAAAAAATGTTATTTACTGTATGATTTGTTTTATGTACTCTGAAAAAAAAAGGCTGTTTCCCATCAGGGAGTCGGGTATAAATTGGAGAGCGCAAGAACTACAACTACATGAAGCAAAGGTGAGGGAGTGTGTGTTCCACAATGGTTACCTTTCAACATGTTATCCACAACCATATATAAATACAACATACTGATTTATTAGGTTGCATTTATTTTTTAGTATCATATACTGCAGTAAATTTGCTTGAATAACTACATCTTAATAAATCAGTAAATCATGCTATATTTACATTAAATAAATACATCCTAATTAGGTTGTATTAATGTTAGGAAATTATAATGCATGGAATTCTATATTTGAACTCTTTAATTTGTATATTTATGTGATGTATTGAATTATAAAATTTATAAATTTAAATGAGAAATTTTCCCGTCACTTAACAGACATTGAATAATACCTTACCTTTATTCTTTTGCATACATCTTCTCTTGCCTGATATTTTCATAGTACAATATCTAGATCAAATCAGTGAATGTTATTTTATTTTATCAGTTTCTGGTTATCAGATAATAGTTTATGTATCCATTTAAACCAGCTATTCAAAATTTTGATTTCATTTTTAAGAATTTTTTTCCGATTCTTTTGGCCGACCATTAATTTTGGCTGACCAATAAATATTAATAATATATAATATTTTAGTTTTATGAGAGCGTCTACATATTGTATCCTTGTATCATTTTTAGCCTTGCCAAAAAATGTGCATTTTTTTATTTATTAGAAAATAAAGGAAAATAAGAACGCCAAAGATAGAGTTCTCAAATCTTATAGAATAATGCTGGGATTTTATGGAATAAAGTCAGATAATGAAGGGAAGTTGTTAAAGTATGCAGATAATTGGTCAGAACGAGCTTCTCATCTGAACAGGTATGTAGTCTGTTGTCACTCTTTCAAAATTGTAATGCTGTACATTGGATTGGAATAATAATACACTGGAAAAGATTATTTTATATGTTGTAAATACTTGGTTTTCATTTAATAGATGTATTTTTTATATCTGCTTATAAAAGGCAAAGCCAAGCAACAACTAGAAATCCAAGTTTTCACTTTACAGTTTTTTAATTCTTCTTTTAAAATAATGTCCATTATGTTTAATCTTATGTTAGAGTTCTTATGAATCCAAGCCGCCTTCACATATATATTGTGTTGAATGTTAAAGTACCCTTTCTCCATACTGTAGTTCACTTCCTGGTAATGTGCTTTCTACACATTTTATGTTTGCTGATGAATTGATGATCAAAGATAATGATGACAGTATTATTTAAATTACTGCATGCAATGCTACTCTGTAGAACTGAGTGTCCATACTGCTGTATATGTAGTTTGTTTTGAATAATCATAAAAAAAACACCCAAAAATTAATACTTGTTGTAGAGTTCTTGTGAGTTATTGACCCACATGGAACATGGGTGAGTTGTTCTCCAATGCCTACTTTATACCTAAACCTAATAATCTATTAATAAACCTAATAATCTATTATAACCTATCTCTAAAACCAAACAAAGTATAGTGACCAGGGTTTCCTCCAAAATATTATTGTTTTACATTTTTATTTCAATTGCCATTACCTTGTTAAGATTGTACAATAGATCACACTGCTCCATCTGAACTATCTGTGGCAATGAAAAATCTATATTCTGAGGTGACGGGACTGGTGGGAGGGTGGGGTATTTTGCGTCTATTGTGGCTATGGCAGTGGCATATCTAGAAGTCTTTAAATGGGGGTGCTGATGGGGGGGGCGCGAAGGTAAAATGGGGGGGATTGATGATCATTTGAGGGGTGCTAACTCACAAAATAAGGTGATTTTAAGTGATTTTTAACTACTTGACTGTGGTTTTCGGAGGCGAAAGTCACATGCCCCCTCCCCCGCACACCCAGCTAGATACGCCACTGGGCTATGGTGCAGGAAAGTCTAATGATTTCACACTCTTTTGCCACCTCTTGGAACCACAACTGATTATTCGTTTTTGTTTTGTTGTTTTGTTTTTTTTGTTCCTTTTAATACAGTAACTATATTTGGTGATCCGCTTCACGAGCGGATCACCTCTTGTTATTGTCAGAGATCATCCTTTTTATTCTTTCTTTCTCCCCATTATTTGTGCGCACGATATTTCAAAATTGCCAAGAGCTACGTACATGCACGCTTCAATGAACATTTGGCTAATTGGCCTAGAATATCCACAATAAGCTTTTCAATGTGCTCAGTCATGTGTGGTGTCATCTACTCGCAATATCTTTCTAACCGATTGTCATTTCTAAATCATATTCAGTGGGCATAAACTTCAGGTCAAGGTTGAATGTCAAAATATTTTGCGTGCGCGTCATAACGATGATTGTAGTATGCAATCTGGAGAGTGAGCCCTCTGGGTCAGCAGAGGCAGATAAATAAAGACCATACAGAAAGACAATAAATAGAATCACATGTTGTATAATGTTCTGCTAATGTATGTATAACAACTCATCACATGGTGTCGAAAGAAACTTGGTTGCCTCCGGCTGAGGTACAACCCATCAATGGAAATTGTGCATCCTTGTGAAGCTACAAGAGATCAACGCTAGGCCTCCTCGCTACTCAGTGAAGATTCAGACTGCTTGACGTACAGGTATTTAGTGGCGTGTGTTGGTGAATGGTTCGCCCTGTTACACGGTTCAGTTGATTTTGTGTTGGGCTGTGTTGCAAAGCAGCTAACACATCGTTGCTGTTATACGGTTCTTAACTCAAGTGCCCAGCACTAGCACGACCTTAAAAAAAATATATATATATGAATATAGGGACAGGAAGCCATATATGAACTGGAATAAAAAATATAAAGGAGTTTAAACGGTTTAAGCAATGTTGCGTGTTTATGTTCAATGGTCCCCTTAGCGACAAGTCGGAGGTTCAGAATGTCAATTACCTTATGAAATTTATAGGGGATAGAGGAAGGGAAATCTACCACATCTTCCAACCAGCAAAAGAAACTACCGAAAATAGCAGAAGCCGTGCCAGCCAAGAACGAGTTGCTTGAGGGTGTTTATAAGAAATTTGAAGTATGTCGCCCCAAAGCGCAACAAAATAAAAGCACAGTGGAATTCAGTAGCAGATTCCAACATGGGATGGAAACTTTCAATAACTTTGTCACTGACCTTAGGGTTTTGGTTGCATACTGCAACTATACAGACATGCAACACATGCTGCATGATGCAATACATGATGAGGGTTAAAGACCCAAAAGTGCAAGAAAAGTGCTTAGAAGAGGGGATGACCTCACCCTAGACATAGCAATAAAAATGGGGCAAAATGTGGAGCTGTAAGAAAAGCTAGTGCACAAACAGCAATTGATGTATAAGTAGTAAAGGAAAAATGTTTAATATATTGCCCAAATGTGTTTATAACAAAATAGGTGCAGATCTGACAAAGTCGAATGCCAAACTTGCCTCCTATTCCGGGAACTGTATGAAGCCTATTGGCAATGCATTATAGTGTGAATATAAAGGTGTATATCATGACATTGAGTTTCAGGTGTTGCCAGAAAAAGTGCAGCCCATGACCAGATACCAGTTCAACATGCATGTCGAAAAGGTGCCATCTACAGCCTAAGGTGCCTCTACAGCCAAAGCTTAAAGCAGAGTTGCAAAGAACGGAGAATCAGGGACTAACTGAGCCGACTGATTGGGTTTCATCATTGGTTGTAGTAGATAAAAAGAATGGGAAACTATGTGTGTGTTTGGATCCAAGGGATTTGAATACAGCAATCAAGAGGGAACACTACAAGTTGCCTTCAAGAGCAGAAATTACTGCACAATTTCCTGGAGCAAAATACAAATGGATGAAGATAGCTCCAAGTTATGTACCTTCATCACTCCATTTGTCAGGTACAGATTCTTGCGCCTACCTTTTGGAATCAGCAGTCCAGTATATCACAAATTGTTTCATAATCTGTTTGCAGAAATTCCTGGTGTAAACACTATGGTGGATGACATTATGGGGATCAACTAAAGCTTAACATGATGAGTGCTTAAAACAGGTTTTGGACATAGTAAAAAATAACTACTTCAGGGGCGGATACAGGATTTAGCATAAGGTGGGACGCCAAAGTAAAGATGGACGACCAGCCAAGATGCAGTATGGGCGGATTCAGCCTGCCAGAAAAAAAGAGGGGGGGGGGTAATCTGCGAGCGAAGCGAGCAGCCTTAGGTTGGGGCCAGGGGACATTTGAGGAATATGAGGTTGTATTGAGTAGATTTTGACTATCTAGCATGGTAGTTTTCAGTAACAAATAATTAAAAAAAATAATAGGTGTATGTATTTTAAAAGAACTTTTAATATACAGGGTACCTGCAAAATGCAACTACTGTATGACATGTGTCATTGAATACTGTAAGTAATAATTCATCTACTCACAACATAATCTTTGACAACATACAAAGGCTCATAAATGTAAACCATTTCAAAAGAGAAATTTCACTTCTAGATAACATGATTAAGTTTCTCAGCAACATTGAACATAAAAATCACAAAATCAGCAAAAAGGAAAATTAATATCCAAAAACCGTTAAAAAAAGTCGTCAAACAACAAAATCCGCTACTGTATATTAAGGGGGGGCGCCAAAGTAAAGATGGACGACCAGCCAAGGTACGAAGCACCGAGGGCATGGGCGGATGCAGCCTGCCAGAAAAAAGGGGGGGGGGGGGTAATCTGCGAGCGAAGCGAGCAGCCTTAGGTTGGGGCCAGGGGACATTTGAGGAATATGAGGTTGTATTGAGTAGATTTTGACTATCTAGCATGGTAGTTTTCAGTAACAAATAATTAAAAAAAATAATAGGTGTATGTATTTTAAAAGAACTTTTAATATACAGGGTACCTGCAAAATGCAACTACTGTATGACATGTGTCATTAAATACTGTAAGAAATAATTCATCTACTCACAACATAATCTTTGACAACATAAGGCTCATAAATGTACACCATTTCAAAAGAGAAATTTCACTTCTAGAAAACATGATGAAGTTTCTCAGCCACATTGAACATAAAAATCACAAAATCAGCAAAAAGGAAAATTAATATCCAAAAACGGTTAAAAAAAGTCGTCAAACAACAAAATCCGCTACTGTATATTAATTATATCCACCAAGTGGATTTATGAATAGCACTCTCCTAGGGTGTTTTTGGTAGAAAAAGAAGTTTTAAACACTGTGGGTGTAATTTTTTCTTTGCTAAAAAGTAGAGGGGGATCCCCACACAAATCCGCCACTGGAAATAGGCCTAGGCCCTAGGTTTAGGTAGGCCTACTTTGTTTCATGTCAGGCGCGTAACAGGGGTATTGGGTCAGGGGGGAAAAGGTAATAATTTTCCCGATCATACACACCCCACACCCCCTCCCCATATAAAAAACAATACGACATAGGGCTTATCTTATNNACCATCCCACCCCCCTCCCCATATAGAAAACAATACGACATAGGGCTTATCTTATTTATAATATAGGCCACACACGTGTGTTTGAAACTAAAAATAAGCATGTTCATCATGGTTTTATTTGAGATTTTTAGGCACTTTCAGGGGATGAAAAGGGCGTTTATAAGGGGGTGGGAAAGATTTTCCAAAGATATATTTTCCCCTTGTTCCCCGGTGGTTAGCCTGTAGTACGCCATCTGGCAGCTTAGATCAAAGGAGTTAAGTGGAGAAGAGGTTGCAGCATGTTGTGAGTCTGGTCATTATGATATCTTCCTTTTTATTCTTGTCTTTATTTTTCTCTCCTCTTTTTCTTTTTCTTTTTCCTTTCCTTTTCTCTTCCTCTTCTTTCTCTTTCCCTCCCTCTCCCCTCTTTGTTTTCTCTTATTACCCAGCCCGATACGACAGCTAGTTCAGCCCGGTAAAAACCGTCGGGGGGGGGGGCAGTTTTTCTCCCTCCCCCGCCTGTTACGCCACTGTTTCATGTCAATTAGAGACAACAGGATTATACAATTTCATACAGTGTATCTTTTAAATTACACAATATGATTAAACCAGGTACTGTACTTGAAAACAATACGGAAGCAAAACTTGCACGTCAAAAGTGTCAAATGTTGTCTACACAAAAACTGTACTTTATTAAAAGAGTAAATCTACTAAAGGGGTGTCGTCAATGGAGATATGCACGCATTTGAGTGTACTGTTGTCACTGTGCATGGGGTCTGACAGTACATACCTGCTAACCTCGATAGAGAGTGATTGATTGCACAAAGGTTTCTCTGCTGGTGCATCTGGCTAAAACTGTCTTTGTAGCTATGCATTGCGTGATATAATTCAACCTTTCAATGGAATCAACCTTTCTATGGAATTGTGTATCCATTCAATTATCTCAAAAAAAAAAAAAAAAAATTGTAATATAAGGGGGTGGGGCGCGTCGCAGGCAAATACGCTCTCAAGGGCAGTAGATCAACAAGCTGAAAGAAAGAGTAGTACCGAAGAGGACGTTGTCAATTATGTAAATATGGTTACTGTGTCAATACCTGTCTCCTCACAAAGCAAGACAGAATTTGTGAAGGAAACAGAAACAGATGAAATTATGAAAGCGTTATGCAAACGTGATATTTTCAGGCTGGCCGAACAAAAAGAAAGATTCTCCTGATAATCTACAAGAATATTGGACAGTGGGGGAAGAGTTGTCCGAAGTTGATGGCTTGCTTTTTAAGGGAAATAGAATAATCATCCCACTTTTCACTGTGTAAATGAATATTGCAGAAAATACATCATCTCAGTGTTGAAAAGTGTAAGCGGAGAGCAAGGGAAGTAGTGTATTGGCCGCGTATAAATCAAGATATAGCTAATGTGGTAAACAATTGTAACTTATGTATAATATACCAGAGACGACAAATGGCAGAGTCACTTCAGCCCCACCAAACCTTAGATCATCCATGGGGAAAACTTGGCGCAGACATTTGTACAGTTAATGGCAGGGAACATGTAGTCATTGCAAATTACTTTTCGCAATTTATAGAGGTTTGCATGCTGCACAGCTAGTGTAGCAGTGACAAGTAAGATAAAATCTGTGTGTGCAAGACAGGGAACACCTATTGAATTGATGACAGACAACAGGCCTCAAACACTGCTGAATTTAGGCACTTGCAGCTGATTGGGACTTTGTCCATATGACTACGAGTCCTCACTATCCCCAATTCAATGGACTAACTGAAGGAGCAGTAAAGATAGTAAAAAAAATTGATCAAAAAAGCAGTTCACATCAATCAAGATACCATGAAAGCCCTGCAAATACTGTATACCGTAGCACCCCTCTTGAATGTGGAAAATCTCCAGCAGAGCTACTCTACAACCGGAGGATGAAAACGAACTTGCTAATGGCAGATAACTTGTTAAACTTCCAGCAACTCGACACGAAAGCTTTCATAGCAAGGAAGAGCGGGGTAAAGAAGAAGCAGCAGAAGTATCATGTGAAGCGAGTAGGTTCATATGATTTACCAGAGTTGGCAGTTGGAACACCTGGGTACAATACCGACATTGTAACAAACAATTCAACAGTACCTAGTGAAAGACCAGAATCGGAAGATGTAGATAAAGAAGTCCATTTAAAAACCAATGTAAATAATGATTATGATAATGATGGCGATAGAGATAATACTCATGCAGAAGATATCAATGTCCCACGACGTAGTGAACGCGATTGGAAGCAAAATCGTAAACAATAATTACACTACATAGATTACTCTTGCAGTGAATGAATGACATGGCATTAGTTTTAATTAACGACCATGTATTTTGTTGTTATTATCATCGTTTTTTTTTTTATCATCTTGCAGAACAATCCATTTTGTGTTTTGTGGGATTTGTTCTTATGATATCAGTTTAATTATAAAAACAAATAAGTGTTTTGTTGGAATAGTGTTCATCCTTATAGGAAGGAAGATGTGTTGATTGTAGTATGCAATCTGGAGAGTGAGCCCTCTGGGTCAGCAGAGGCAGAGAAATAAAGGTGGCGAGTAAGACCATACTGAAAGACAATAAATAGTCACATGTTGTATAATGTTCTGCTATGTATAACAACTCATCACACACACGAGCGTCAACATTTTAAAATGCTCAAAATCACTTTTTGACTAAATTAGGACACGTTTCATGCCATTTTGAGCATTTCAAAATTTTTGACGTTTTCCGATACGCGCGCGCACCTATGGAAGCTAGAAGTTTGTTTTTTTTCACATATTTTGGGTTCCTGACATTGTATTCATAAATTTACATTCTTTTCAGTCATCTTAGGGCCAATAGCAATGCCGTACACGCGCATGAAACATAGGAATCCTTGCACGCATTTGTGCAAACATACAGTGAGAATATGCTAAAATCAGGCCTATTTTTAATCAGTTATACCTGAGACAATTCTCTTTTATAAATTTGACTTTTTTCTACATTTTGATGATGTCATCATAGTCAAATAAATGTTTTTTCTAACCCCCTCATCTTTCTTTCCTCAAATCTGTGATGCCCCCATATCATCCTAACCAGTAGTCATTTGTGAATCATATTCAGTAGGCATAAACTTCAGATGACGGTTGAATGTCATGTAACTTAATTTTACGTGCGCTCGTCTTAACGTGCACATACACGTCCGTCAACATTTTTCAATGTCAAAATCGTGTTTAATTTTAATTAGTTATAGCTCCTTAGGATGAAAGATGACCTCCAATTTTTATTACCTATTCTGAAAGATATGATTTTATAGATCATTATGCTGATCGGACATTGTGACGTCATCATATTGCCATTTGAATTTAAAAAAATGAATTTTTATTTTTGTCGTCATAATTTTTATACTTATTTAAACGTATCTCGCTTTTTCTTGATCGATCGTCTCCCACCTTCGGGCATGTTATAGCTAAGACAATTTCCTTTCACAATATTTCAATCATTTTTCACGTTGATGATGTCATCATGGTCAAAATGAATGTTTTTCTAACCTCACCCCACCTTTCTTTAAATAGAGAGAGGGCGGCAGACTTGATATTTTCTTGCACAGTTCGAAAATCCTGGCTACAGTGTTTTTTCCGTATTTCACTTTTAAGCACTGCGAGATTTCTTTTACCTGACAAGCGGATCACCTAACTCGTCCTTAGTGACGAGTTTCAAATCTAGTTTATGTTATTGTCCTCATATTATTTTATTCTATGTGATTCATTCTTTATAGGTCAAGACATAATCACTTGAGGATAACTCGAATATTGAAGAGTCTTGGTGAACTTGGATTTGAGGATTTAAAGAAACCTTTTATTGACTTTATTTTAAAAGAAATATTCGAATCTAAATTACTTTGGTATACTTTTGAAAGTTGCAAGAACTATTGGATTCAAGTGTTAAAGAATGATGAGGAACGGAACAAATGCCTGTCGTCCTTAGAAAAATACGCAAAAGGAAGTCAAGAAAAACGGAGTTACAAAAAGTCAAAACGAACTACTTATGTTTAAAGATTTATAATGAGTAATTAAAGCATTTTGATTTACACTAAAGCTGCAACACCTTGATCCAAATATAAAACATTCTTTAATGCAAGTATGAAAAAATACAAAGTGAAGGAAAAAAGGACAGTAACAATAGGCGAGCAGATTAGAGGCTATTTTGGGGTGCACCTTAATTATTGACTCGTTATTCTATTTTAGTACAAGAAAAATACATCTTATGGTTGAAAAAATTGCAACAGAATTTCTGTTTGCACAATGCATTTTCTTAAGGTCTCTGTATGAACATACTAAAAGTCTAGAAAAATCCACATAGGGGAAGTGTGTATTTTTCAAAATGGCCGCCAAAAATGGATAGTTTTAACCAAAAATTGAAAAAAAAAATGATCATTTCAACATGTTTCAGCATATTTTTTTTTCTAAAATATATTTACAAATCCTAAAATAGTTCTGATGCATATATGTATGTACACTTATTTGATGTGGGTATAATTAATTTCAAGATGGCTGCCACAAATACGACGACATATTTAGTGGTGTATGCATAAGACCCCAAGCAGCTATAGTGCCATAAGGACGTTTTGGGCAAAAGCACCAACTTATTACATGCTCTTTATGGTCATAGCATTCAATTTTTGATAGAAACCATTTTATCGGAGGTCATTATGGCAGCCATATTAGATTTAAAAATGGCCACCTTATAAAACCTATGTATGGCCACCTTATAAAACCTATGAAACAACTCCTATTGACAATATTTTTAAATTACAAAAGCGAGCTCTCAGGATTTGTGCAGGGACAAGTCGTATTTCCCATACCAAACCTTTATTTTACAAATTTAGTGTTCTAAATGTATTTGATTTGCATAAATTACAAAACTATGTTTTTATGTATCACTTTAGAAATGAAACATTACCCCCACATATTTATAATCTATTTCCAAAACAACAGTCTGACATACATGATCATAATACTAGATTTGCTAAAAGTAATGTTTTATTTGAAAAATATACATCCTCTTCTGGAAAAAAAATCCATATTTTACACTTGTCCAAAATCATGGAATTCCTTAAAAAATTTCCTTCAAATCGTTACCTAATCTCAACACTTTTAAATGCAATCTTAAAAAGTCTGTGGTGTTGGAGTATGGCGGGTAAAGTCCTGGTCTGTCTGTCAGTCATTCTTATTATACTTAACGGACTACTACCACAATGTATGCGCTGTCTCTTATACACATCTAGATGTGTATAAGAGACAGGTAAGATAAAATCTGTGTGTGCAAGACAGGGAACACCTATTGAATTGATGACAGACAACAGGCCTCAAACACTGCTGAATTTAGGCACTTGCAGCTGATTGGGACTTTGTCCATATGACTACGAGTCCTCACTATCCCCAATTCAATGGACTAACTGAAGGAGCAGTAAAGATAGTACCACAGTATTATCTCCTTGCAAAAACTATATTAATATCTTAGCATTTAGAATCACTTCAAACTAGAATTCTGATGTTTAAAACTGTTTTTATGGTCAAGAAAATATACCATTTGTGACATATAATAATAATATAATAATAATAATATATAGGTCATTCAAGGTCATTTTATGTTAAATACCATATCAGAGGTCGTTATGATGTCCATTTTAGGTCAAGGTGCCAAATTAAAGCCAAATTAGAAATGGCCATAAAGACATATATGTTTACTTTACATAATCAAATATTGACTTTACCAGTTGTGACATGGTCAGATGATTATTGTAATCATAAAAATAGCTAATTAATGTCATTCAATTACGTTTCAGGTAAAATAATGTATGACATGTTAATGATGAACCTTTTCGAGTTTTAATAAAAACAACTGACCAATCAGAAGAGTAGACAGTGAACGCGGAAAAAAACAAAACAATCTGTTCCATCAGTTGTCAAGATTCTAATAACAGTCCTAAATAATATAAATATATAAATATAAATAAATATATATATACATATATATATAATATATATAGATGAATGATCGAGTCATATCAGAGGTCGCTATGATGTCCATTTTAGGTCAAGGTGATTTTACAGCCAAATTAGAGATGGCCATAAAGACATATATGTTTACTTTACATAATCAAATATTGACTTTACCAGTTGTGACATGGTCAGATGATTATTATAATCATAAAAATAGCTAATTAATGTCATTCAATTACGTTTCAGATAAAATATTGTATGACATGTTAATAATGAACCCTTTCTAGTTTTAATAAAAACAACTGACCAATCAGAAGAGTAGACAGTGGACGCGGAAGAAAACAAAACAATCTGTTCCATCAGTTGTCAAGATTCTAATAACAGTAGTTATGATGATATACCGTCGGCCTACTTAAACTAAGCATTAGCCAAACAGGTTTGTATGTATAGGCCTAGTATTATGCTAGTATGGTACAGAGCTGTATTTTTTTTTCTTTTTGAATGACCAGAAAGAACACATTTAACATTATCAAACGGAAATGACACTTGACCAAATACTTTAATAACAACATAGACAAAGAAACAAAAAAAAAAAAAAATGGAAACAAAAAAAAAAAAAAAAAATGAAGAAGAAAACCTCTTATGGAAGTGTACTGTAGGCCTACTGAAGTGAGTTTTAGTAAATTAAATAGGGCTTATAAGATAAATGTTATTCCAAAAGGGAAACTATGAAATATATTAGCTGGTGAAATTCGTAATTTAAGTTTTTGTCTGTTAGGTCTTTGAACACCAAGCGATACGTACAATATCTGTAAGAAGCAATCAAATCCGTTAAATGGAATATTTTAACATTTTATATTTATCAAGAGTTTTTACGGTGCGCGGTAAAAACCGTTCATTAGACCAACCCGCCCTCGATAAACTGACGTTAGAGATTATGATAAGCGGCGATCTTCTGATCTGTGCGTTACCATGGTGTTCCTATTAAAAACCCATTTAGCACTGTTGTTTTCAAGGTGATTGGGAGTGTTTGTCAAAAAGCTCATTGACCAATAAACGCGTAGTTGAAATCGTGACGTTGCCATCTCTGGTAAGGGAGCAGTGACCGGAAATCTGTGACGTAGTGTCACTCTCATCGGCCAATGAACGCAAAGTTGAAATTAGTACTTAGCGTTACTCGACATCTCTTTAATTACGAGATATTGGTACATAATACACGATGGCGTGTATTTGATTACTTTGAGCATGGAGGTGTTATACCTCCATGCTTTGGGCATGCTTTGAGTATGTATATACTTTCTTACAAATCTATAATACAATTACTAAAGTTAACGATACGTCAATTGATACTTGTCTTTGGAAAAATCCGCGGTATAAATCATAACGTATAGGCCTACAGTAACTCAAATGACATGATTATTCTCTGATTTATATCAAACTCAAAATCAGTTTTCAAATACCAAATTTAATTTAATAATGTGGAATAGAAAGAGAAAAAAAATGCTGAAATTGAAAAGTTTTCTTGTAAATTAAAATCACAAATGTCCTAGTACATGTAACGTGTCATTGCATGAAAAAAAGTCCATTTCAGGCTTTCTTGGGTGATCCATATTTCAAGCAAGTGCTGCTATATAATTAAAAGCAAAATTAGAAAGCAAGTATACATGTTCCTATGATAGTTAATTCATATCCATTTTATATCAACATAAATTTAAGAACTTTCTATTATTAACCAGTTTCCTGGTAAATAAAAATAAACTATCTGAAGCGGAAAAAATACGACTTTATTTTATCCAACATACTTCAATAATTAATTGATAGCAATAGAATCACGTACGAAATGTTAAACTAGTACTTTTCTTATTATATAAATAATTACACGACAACAGTTGCGGCAAAAATTATACAAACCAGGAACACAAAATACTTTAACCAGTGATTTTACGACAAGAATTCATTTTGCTTCAAATTGCACTGGTTTATAATTAGACCCTTCATAAGTATATTATTATTATATAATCCATATACCGGTACAAGTGCTCAGATGCTAACACTGCAGCTAACTTACCTGGCTTCAATCGACAACTTGAAAACGAAATTCAGTTATTAATATTAAGGGGAAAATGAGGGGAAATATATCCTTTAACACTACGTCCAAACCTTGTTACGGGGACACCCTTAATATTATGTGAAGTGTGTCAGATGATTGGTGCAACCTCTATTAGTGAGGGGGCACAATTGTTTAACATATCCCCAAAAACGACAAAAATGTAGCTATAATCTATATACAAATGGTTATTACACTTTAAAAAGTATTTGCCCTTCAATGCAGAAAAATGTGAGGGGTGGGTGAAAAAACTTTCATTCTTTATGTTCCTGAAATTTAAAGCAATGTATGTAATCGAGACTGTCTCACATTTATTTTACGAAAGTACTCATCCAACAGAATAACACAATCAACAGTACGTAACATAACGAATCGATTTTTATGGTGATATCACACTGTTATTCAAACAGCAATTTTAGACAGTGGTAACACCTCCGGGGAAAAATCACAATAGAAAAGTCATCAAACAAATTTTTAATTTGTATTAAATACTTATATATGTAAAAATGCTGTCCCTATTAATTAGGTGCTGGAGAGCACGAAATAAACATTTTTTTTAAACGCTTTACACAAGGTTTTTTATTAATCAGTTCATCATTTCAGGAGTCCACTTGACCTTAGACATGATAACCTCTTAAAAATAGTAACGTTGATGATGAATTTAAACAAAAAATAAGATGAAATTTTTCATCAAAAAAATTTTTTACTGTGAAAAAGATTATTTTATTTAAGTAATGGTTTATTAGTTTTAGGCCTATATTTTAATCAATATCATATTATTCTGAAGTATAGTTTCCCATTACTCTACCCATCATATACTACAATGGTATCACCAAAACTAAAACATTTGCCTGAGAGATTTTAAAGAAAACTCCCTATTAAGGGGATACCTAAATAGTGATAGCCATATGCAGGTGACACCCCTATTAAGGGGACACTTTTTTGGTCAAGATAGTGCCCCTTAATAAGGGTTCGGCTACCTAGGGGCTATGTGCTCTGTCTCTGTCTGTCATATTATCCCTGTGCTATCCATTTGAAATTCTGTGCTACACATTTGCAAAACTGCCCTACCATTGAAAAACTGTGCTATCCATTTGAAAGTTTGCGCTTTCTATTTAAAAAACTGCGCTAAAATTGCAAAGCGCATTTGGAAAAAAAAAAGTGCTATCCCTTTGAAAGTCTATGCTACCCCTTTGCAAGACTGTACTACCTTTGAAAAACTATGTGCTATCCATTTTAAATGATGCGCTTTCCATTTGAAAAACTGCGTTAAAACTGCGATGCCCATTTGAAAAAGTGTGCTATCCATTTGAAAGTCTGTGCTACCCATTTGAAAGACTGAGGCTTTTCATTTACAAGACTGCGCTACCCATTTGAAAAACTGCGATACCAATTTGAAAAACGGCGAGACATATTTTGTAAAACTGTGCTACCCATTTGAAAGTATGTGCTACCCATTTGTAAGACTGTGCTACCCATTTACAAGAAAATGCGATACCTATTTTGGAAAACTGTACTACCCATTTCAAAGTCTGTGCTAAC